ATACCTGGCATCAAATAGTTTATATAACAGCTAAAGACATTTGAAATTGGTGCCAAAATGTGAGCAGCCAATCAGAATTGAAATAAAAATAAAGTGATTAAAACAGTAAAATAACTGATAAAATTTTGCATACATATATTGTATTAAACATCAAAAACTGCATAACACAAATATACATGAAAAACGAGGGCTATATTGTCATATAATATAAGGAACCTTTTCAGCCGATCCCGTGATTGGCAAAAAGAAACGTGGTGCATGATGGGGGCATGAGGGAGAAGGGGACGTCAGCACGCAAGATACTTGCGGCTGACGGAATAAAAGGGGGCGGGGTTTATAATGACGACGGCATGCACGAAGCTGCTGCCGTCGTCATAGAAACAAAACAGGAAGTATAGACGACGGCTAGCACAAGGCTGCAGCCGTCGTCATAGCAACCACAAGGGAAGAAAAAAAGCCAACAAAAAAATCCTGTCGGCTGGCACAAAGCTGCAGCCGGCTAGGAAATATAAAAACCCATGGGAATATTCAATAAAATGGTGCAGTGCAAGTAAAAATAAAATTAAAAATAAAATTAAAAATTAAAAATACACAGTGTAAATAAGAATACAATAAAAAAATGCACAAAATGGATAATGGATCATACACAGAAAGAACTTTAAAAGTAGATAATATATAACAGGAATATATAAAACTTGGGAATGTATATATAAGTCATATATAAAAACATACTAAAATTATCCAAATAAAGTGTAGGAATAAAGGAAATTTATAAAAAATTAAACAGATCAAAGTCTATATTAAGGCCATGTGGTGTCAGTGTTTGAAGTCTATATACCCATTCCATTTCTATTTTGCCTAAAATATTTTTAATATTGCCACCCCTCCAGGGAGTCGTACATTTCTTTATTCCAATACATTTTAATAGTTTTGGATCTTTATTGTGCATAATGAAATGTTTGGATACTGAATGATTCAGATATCCATTTTTAATATTTCTGCAATGTTCGCTTAAACGTGTTTTTAAGCACCTTGTGGTCATTCCAACATATTGGAGGCCACAGGGGCATTTAAGCAGATATATAACATTTTTAGTAGAACAATTAATAAAATCACAGATTTTATAAACCTTGTTTGTCCGTTTTGACATAAATTGAGTAACTTTGTGGGGGACGGCAGGGTCAGTAGTTCTACAAACTATGCACATTTCACATTTGCAGAAATCTTTAATTTGTTGGAAAAGAGTTAGAGGGAGTGTGTTTCTTTCTTCTTTGGTAAAATTATTAGTTAATATTGATTTAAAGTTTTTGGCTCCTCTAAATATTATATTTGGACGTTTAGGTATAATTTTGTTAAGAGTTTCATCCTGTTGTAGAATATGCCAATGTTTTTTTATAATTTTTTTAACATCATTGCTTTTATTGTTGAAGTTAAAGATGATAGGTAAGGGCATAGATTCATCTTTATTTTTGGGTTTATATTGTAAAAGTTCATTTCTATCTTTGTCTTGAATATCCCTAATGGTATTATCAAGTTCCATTTCTGAATAGTTTTTCTCAACAAATTTATCTTTTAGTATCTTGGCTTGTATATTAAAGTCACTTAGTTCCGAGCAGTTTCTCCGTAGTCGTAGTATTTGACTCTTCGGAGCGCTGTCTAACCAGGGTTGGTAGTGGCAACTACTCTTATCTATGGCAGTATTCACACACACTTTTTTTTAAAAACGTTTTGGTGTGTAATTTTTTTATAAAAATATCAAGATCTAAAAAATTAATTTGTTCCCTACTATATTCATAGGTGAGGATTATACCTCTATTATTTGTGTTGAGATTAGTAATAAAAGAGTTAAGATCATCCTTGGAACCTTCCCAAATAAAAAAAAGATCATCAATATATCTAAAAAATGAAACTAGGTTTACTCTCCAGGTATGCTCACTAAAAACAGCTTCAGATTCCCAGTCGGCCATAAATAGATTTGAATAGCTGGGAGCAAACCTATTTCCCATGGCTGTTCCTCTTTTTTGGCGATAAAAAGAATTTAAAAACCAAAAATAATTATTCTTTAAAATAATGTTAATACCTTCTAAAATAAAATCAATTTGTGCTTCAGAGATTCTTCCTTCTCTGGTTAGGATATCTCTTACAGCTTGACAGCCTATGTCATGAGGTATAATAGTATATAGTGACTGGACGTCACATGTCACCAGTATAAAATTAGACTTCCATGTAAAATCATTTAAAAACTTTAAAAGAGTCATGGAATCTTGAAGATAAGATCTCATGCATTTAACTGAAGGCTGTAAGAGAATATCTATATATTGCGAACGATTACAAAGGAGAGAGCCTATACCAGACACAATTGGCCTCCCTGGTGGTGAAGTGTCATTTTTGTGAATCTTAGGGAGGAAATATATAACGAGGGTCACAGGGAATTTTATATTTAAAAAATTAAATTCGTGTTTGTTTAAAATACCTGAAGTTACTCCTTTATTTAAAAATGGAGTTAGGATTGTTTGTATGTGTTTAATTGGGTCTGATGGAAGTTTGTCATACACAGTTGCATCATTTAATTGTCTGAGTGCCTCTTCTATATACATTTGGCTTGATTGGATAACTATTCCTCCTCCTTTATCGGCTGGCTTGATGACAATACTTACATCATCTTGCAATTCCTTTAATGCTAGTTTCTCTATGTGCGTTAGGTTCTGAGGATCATATTTTGTATTTTTAATTTTTTCTAAATCTTTTATAACCAGTTTTTCAAACATAGTGATAGGGGCAGATTTAAAATGAGCAGGATCAAAAACAGATTTCTCTCTAAGGTGTGTATTGATTATATGGTTATTTTGAGAGAGTGGTGGAGGGGATAAAATAAGATTTTGATTAAGACTGTCCTCATTTTTTTCTATAAAAAATCTTTTGAGGGTGACTGTCAACCCACTTAAACCACATATCAAGACTTTACATGCTATGGTTGCCATTGCTAATCCTACTTTCGAAGACACGATGGCAGTGGAAACTGGGTTCTCAGACACTAACTTATGGCTGGAATGGATGAGATATAATGCTAACTCACACAATAAGACTAACTGTTATGAAGGTGGGGGAGCCAGGCCCCACCTGGGTACGGTGCCTTTAAACCTACCTCCTGATGTTGAATTATGTGTCTTGAGTCTTTATGCACAGTCCACCACTAACTCCTCAACATGTGAGTCATGGAAAAAGGTCTACCCAATCATCCAGGGGCACGTTAGACCACCTGATGGAGTCACTGTATACCCAGGTAACTACACTTGTTATTCAATACCTAAGAACACAGGTACATTCATGGGCAAATTCCCATCTGGTTATTGCTCCACCTATAATAATCCACCCACAGCACTGTTAATGAATCATGCAAAAACAGTCGGGGACATATATTGGCTGTGTGGTGATAAGCAACTGAGATCCCAACTAACGGGGTTATGGTGGGGAGAATGTACACTAACTAAAGCCATAATGCCTATCCACATTATCCCGGATGGCCATCACAATGTGTTAGATCCCACACACACACACTCCAGAGTCAAAAGGAGTCAATCCGTGGTAGCTTTTATCCACATGTTTATATTGATGCCATTGGTGTGCCAAGGGGGGTGCCCAACGAATTTAAAGCAAGGGATGAAGTGGCAGCCAGGTTTGAATATTTGATTCCAATGATTGCAGCTAATAAGAATGTCAATTGGATTAATTATATCTATTATAATCAGCAGCGGTTTGTTAACTATACTAGAGATGCCCTACAGGGCCTAGCAGAACAGCTGCAAGCTACCACCCAAATGATATTTCAAAATAGAATGGCTCTGGATATGATCTTAGCAGAAAAGGGCGGCGTATGTAAAATCCTCCCTGAGACCATGACATGCTGCACATTTATTCCAGATAACACTGGGCCCAATGGTAAAGTGACTATGGCAATAGAGAAATTAGATAGCCTTTCAGATGAACTAAAAAAGAATTCAGGGGTCACTGACACATGGGACAGATGGTTTGGATGGATGAATGGTTGGCAGAGAACCCTATTCCAGGTTGGGACAGCAGTTCTCATAATGATTATCATCTTCCTATTCTTAACCTGTTGTGTACTTCCTTGCATAGTACTTACAGAAGACAGTAGGGAAGACTATAGACAACGTAACCCCTACTTTCCTACACCAGGACATCACTGACCTAGAATGTGACACACCACATACACCCCTCCAATCCCACCAATTTAGACAGACAACTGCATTTCTGTAGGGATAGCATAGGGAAAGCGTCTGTCTCTACAGGCAAGTCTCACGTGCGGAGATGTGGTGGACTAGCCGCTGCGGGTTACCCACGGAGTGAAGTGTTCGATGCTTGTTAAGACAGATGAGCTGCAGGCAGCTAGGGACATGTTAGGGACAGTATCAATTTTTATGGTAAATACCCATTTTAAGGGGGGATTGTTGTGGAAATGAGAAATTGACACATTTTTAATTAGTAAAATGCCTATTTACTCATTTAACTGAAATCAGTGCATAAACTATTAACACATATTTAGACAAAATGGCCACTAGAAGCTTCTAACCCCTCCCTCCCTATAACACCGACTAACTACCTTGTGTAACAAGATGGCGCTGGAATCTGGGGGAGACCCTCATGGTCTCAGTGACATCACCCTTAGTAGGCAGAGCATTAGGGAAACCACTTAACACCTAACCAATTAATAAAGTATTATTTCATGTTATCTCTGACAATGCTTATGATGTAATTTTGCTTTAAAAGGGACCTGCCGTCCCCTCTGAATAAACATTCCTCAAGTTATTCATCAACCTGAAATCTGTGTCTGGTGTGAATTACTTCAGGGAGCGTGCACGCATTGTTTCTTAATTTGGCCAGGGGCAGATACACAGAGAATAATCAATTAATTGAATTGATTTCCACTTCAATTTATATATTAAACATAATTTAATATGAATAAAATCTAAAAAAAAAAAGGGGCGGGGCCTGACCGCCAAGCTGCTTGGTCGCACAAAGCGTGTGCTCCGCGTGAGAATCCACTATTGAGCTCTTTAAAGGATATTTATCCCAAAAAATCTGCCAACTTTGAAGCTGGGAAGAATAAGTGTAACCCTGAGACTCAATTTGGGGGGTCATAACGGACAACCTAAACTTGACGACAAAGTGCGGCCTACCGGTAGAGACGGGCAGGGGAGAGGCGGCCGATCTCCCTGCGAGCTGCTCAGCTGGAAGGCACTGAAGTGGTCGGAACCCTGTTCCCCCCCCCAGCCGGTGGGGGTTATCCCGGCGCCGTCCCACAAGTTCTACTCCTCAGCTGTGAGTGCAACTACCCTGCCTCTGATACAAGTGCTCTGCTGAGCTAAGATGGCGGCTTCTGAGCCAGCTCCTGACACACTCGAGCAACGACTGGAGGAGGTCTTCCGCAAGTTCTGGCAGAAGCTGCAGAAGAGGGGTGATCAACCTTCGAGAGAGCAGCGCAGAAACACCAAGCTGCAGAACATACCTCCCAAAAATTTGCACCCTGCGGCAGACATGCATCAGAGACTACTGACAGCACCTGTCTCTAAGAAGCCACAACGGAACAAGGCCCCCTTGAAAATTACCTACTCACGCCACAAGATACCCAGCGCCCGATATCGCGTTCCTGGGAGAGGGGCCTGGTGGGAGAAGATCCTGATGCCGACCCCATTCTGCTGGAAGAAGCAACATCAAACTACACCTTCCCGAGGCTTAGCTGGTGGAGCGAAAAGCAACCAGAGTACTGGGACATGCACATGGGCTCCTGAGAGGGCCTGGGGCAAACGGCAAAGCCAGTATTGGACAACCGAGACACTGACACCTAACGTATCTCAGATAATGAGCATGGGTATCGGATGAAGAGCTGGGATGCCAGGGTGGGAGAGATCACAAGAGCCCGGGCTAGATATTGTAGTCTCCCTCTATAACTAACTGATTGCTTGTTTTACCTATTGTCTTTTTATGTTATTTTAATATCTAAGCGACACCCTCCTACCGAGATCCTGGAACCCAGTGGGCTCATAGCTTACTCTGTATTAATTTGAACCCCCGCCATGTTTCACGGGGGCCATCTTGTCTGCAACCACTAACACATGCTCAGCTTCCCCATCTTGAAAAGATACGCGGAGTCAGATGGTAGATAGACAGTCATACTCCCTTTACTCCACCATACTAGCGTTAGTTGTCAGCAGCTCATACTGTTTTAACTAGTTGAGTCCAGTTTAACTGTCTAACCTGTCAGTTTAAGCGCACCCTAACTACTGGGACATAATTACATAGCCTGTATTACTCTTGTTAAACTAAAAATGTGCAAGTTTACCAAAGCCATGACAATGTCCTTGTGTGAAAGTTTGTGCTTGCAGAGGCTACTGTGGCTAAGCATACCTTTTTGTATATATCTGCACACAAAATACAGAATTATATACAAGAAACTCAAGCCTGCCCAAATATGACTATAATATCAATGTATTTGTACAGCTGACACTGCAATGTTACCATTGCTTAAATTCTTGGACCATGGTTACTTTAATGCTTTCTTTAGGTATATAAGCTTGCCGATCTCACACGATGCCTCAGGCTAGCCGCACTGATTTAGCTTAAACCATATCGTTAATAGTTCATCTGCTGTATCGTTACCTTTTTCACTTTTATAAAAATGTATGCATCTCCAACTTGCCACAACACTGTTATCATATGTCTATAAATAATCGAGCCTGCTATTGCTGTTGTGGCGACACAGGCACTGTTGTAACTACCTGCATACCAAAAATAAAGAATTATAAAAAATAAAAAAAATCTAAAAAAGAGTTCTGCATTGCATTTTAACAGTAAATTTTATAATATTGTCAGCTTTTACTGCAATAAAACACACATATTTGTATGCTGTGATGTCCCACAAGTACAATGATGCCCCCCATGTGCAGGTTTTCAAGGTATTTTGGAAAGTTACTGGGCCTATGTTGCCTTTGAGGCATATGACATCATGGCTTACCATTTGCAAAAGTAGACAACCCAGGGTATTCAAAATGGGGTATGTCCAGCATTTTTTAGTAGCCAGTTAGTCACAAACCCTGAAAACGGAGCATCCACCCCCCAAAGCAGATGGGGAAGAAGAATAACAAATTGCGGGCCAAACGAGCCTCGGTTCCCGAGATATCAGGACCCTCCTCGCCATCCTGTTAGGCCTACACCACCCAAAATGGCACAGGTGGAAAAATTACCCTCAGTCTCCTCGGATGAGGATAACCTGCCTGAAAAGCTGTCCACCTTTCCAAAGGTAACTGCAGTGCCACAAGTACCCCTAACAGATGGGGACAAGGCCCCCTTCACCAAGGCAGACATTAAGGCCCTGCACCAAGAGCTCAGAGCCATGTTCCCGGCCGATGTAGCAGTGGTGAAGGAGGAGGTAGCCGCACTAGCCAGCAGACTAGCCACAACGGATGAAGAGGTGGGAGCCGCAAGGGTAGCACAAACAGCCACTGACGTGTATCTGTGTGTGAGTGTATGGGTGTATGTATTGTGATATATGGGCAGTTGAGCTGTTTGGATGTTAATGATGCACTTCCTTTCTTGTGGCTCTTTACTTCCTGTTCCTGTTGGCAGTTGGTGGAATGTTCAAGGGGTTTGAAAGATTTTAAAGCTCTTCTCTGCCCTATTTGAAATCTATTAGTTCCTGTTGGCAGTTGGTGGAATGTTCGAGGGATTTGAAATGACGGCTGCAGAAACGCTGTGTAACAAGGCTGCAATATGAAGATGCTGTTATATATGTATTAATAAATTGAGTACTTCGTTATACAGGAATTATTGACTGATTTGTACAAAACATCACAGTGGCGACGAGGCTGTAGAACCCAAACTGACATGGCAGCCATTGGCACTATAAAGGACTTTGATCCTGACTCGGATTTATGGGCCTCTTGGGTTGAAAGGCTTGAACAATATTGTAACGGACCGTTTTGCACACAAGGGGTAAAAACCGTTTAGGCAATCGGCCCCCTTTCCAGAGATACAGGCACAGCTACTGCAGAACACCAAACTCCCAAACTGGATACAAAATAGCACTCCAACTCCCGAACTGGAACCTCCCAAATAGCTGCTAGCAGACGAACAGGAAAAGCAGACAATCAGCTTACACTCCTGGCAATCAGTCTCTAACAGCATACAGTGAATCCCCCCAAGAACGAGACAAGGCTCTGTGTTGAGGGTCAAGCAGTGGTCTGAGGTGCTGGCACACCCAGCCTGGTTTTTATTACAGTCTTGCAAATACAGGACCGCCCACAGGGAGGTATAAAATATCCAGTAACATATTAGTTACAACCCACAGATTCCCTCCCCTTATCCTGAGAGGTAACCCAATTACATATACTTTTTACCACAATGCATCCTGGCTTCCTCTCCTCTGCCCAGGAGATAATTGAGAAGTAATTAAATTATCTCCCAGGACAGAGACAAGACTCCATTATGCACATGGTGACACAAAACAAGCATTGCTGTTAAAATACACCAGGTAAGGCACATTACATTAAAACTATACATTTAACATATCCCCAGATAGCTCAGGTCTGAGCGCACATTATTAAGTGAATGGCGCTCAGACCACACGAATACAGTTTAATCACCATGGAGCCAAATTCTTTACAGTCAGTTTCATACGAATGGGCTCCATGGGATTCCTATCTGGGGTATATTCAAACAAATCTACCGAACCCCAGGCAGAAAAGCACGAATGAAGCTTTTCTGCAGGTAAAAAAGATGTATTTTTACAGGGGGCCATAGTCCAAAGGCAGCAGGCGAGCAACCAGGCTTCTCCAATGCAATGTGGCTAGATTGGTCTCGTCACAAATATTTTGCAGCTATGCTATTCCTGACAATAAACAGGTCGCTGTTTTCCTAACAGCTATAGTAGCCAGAACGTATGATACGCTAAGAGCCTCTTACACCCAGAGAAACCAGCCAGCAAGCCATTGGCAAGCCTGATTACTATGTTAAGTGGCCATTTCCAACCAAAACCACTAGAGATAGCAGAGAGATTTAAATTCTATTAAAGAAGACAAGAGCCTGGTGAATCAGTTTCAGCAAATGCCATTACATTACGGAAAATCGCCAGCACCTGCTGTTTTGGGGCCTACATGCCCACTGCTCTGCGAGACCAGTTTGTAATGGGCATTGCAAGTGATGCAGTGCTAAGACTGCTTACAGAAGTTACTTAACATTTTAAAATGTTACTTAACATTTTAAAAAGCAATGAACATGGCAAGTATATAGAACAAGCCTCTAAGGATGCTAATCTATTACACAGCAGACTAGACAACACACAGGAGGCAGAGCTAGAAGTTTTAAAATTAGACGCTAGAGCACAGAGTGTACCACAGGGAAAGAGACTTTCAAAACAGGAACATTCACATTACAAATGTTATCGCTGTGGAGCTGCTAAACATGTTGCCACTGCATGCAGATTCAAGGATGCCAAGTGTCATGCTTGTGGTAAAATGGGCCACCTACAGAGAGTGTGTAAATCCACAGCAGACAGAGGCAGTAATCGCTTGAGAGACAGAGCAAACAATGCCTATAGAGTACAAATGCAGGACTCTTCTGAGGATTCGGATGAACAATTTCCTGTACTTAATTTAAAAGTATATAAAATAGGTTCTAATCTGGCTGCATTCACAGTTCAGGTTGTTGTAAATGGAAAGAAACTGACCATGGATTTGGACACAGGTGCAGCTGTATCAGTGATTTCTTTGACAGACTGGAAACGCCTTAAAATACATAGGCCAATAGTTCAAAGAACAGCGAGACTGCAAACATATTCTAAAGAGCTGTTAATACCAGTAGGTTGTGTGACAGTCACAGTTACATTCAAGAAGTGTAATAAGAAACTACCTCTCTATATCTTAGAGAATGGAGGACCTCAACTTTTTGGTAGGGAGTGGATAAAGGCTCTCGGGATGCCTCAAATGCATAAGTATCCATGTAATGTGTTGAATGAAAATCAGACCAGACTTGACTGACTGGATTAGGGAATTACAGGAAAAGTATGCACCAGTGTTTGATGGCCAATTGGGGAATGTAAAGGGACAACAAGTTTTCTTAGAATTAAGGGAAGGAGCAACACCGAAATTTTTTAAAGCAAGAAGTGTGCCTTTTGCTCTAAGAGCTGGAGTGGAGGCAGAATTGAGGAGATTAGAGGAGCTGAATATCATCTCCCGGGTTCACAATAGTGAGTGGGCTTTGCCCATTGTTCCTATGAGAAAACGAAATGGGGAGATACGGATTTGTGGGGATTTCCGCATGGCTCTTAACACACAGCTTAAAATAGATAAGTATCCCCTTCCTAGAGTAGATGATATTTTGGCATCATTGGCAGGTGGCCAGCAATTCACCAAAATTGACTTGAAAAATGCATACCTACAGTTATCTGTACATCCAGATTCTCGACCACTACTTACGATTAATACCCATCAGGGGCTATTCAGGTATAACCGTATGGTTTTTGGCATTTCACCTGCACCAGCTGTCTGGCAGCGAACAATGGACAAGCTGTTAGCTGGAATTCCTGGGACACAGTGCCTGTTAGATGACATGCTGGTGACTGGTAAATCAGAGGAGGAATATAAACAGAAGTAGAAGCAGTTTTGCAAAGGCTTATGGAATATGGATTGAAGGTAAATTTGGATAAATGCCAATTCATGCAGGATCGTCTTGAATTTTGTGCTCATGTAATTGACAAACATGGGCTGCATACAACAGATGAGAAGGTCAAGGCATTACAGGATGCTCCAACTCCACAAAATGTGACACAACTAAGGTCCTATCTTGGTCTGTTAAATTGTTACAACTGTTTTTTGCCAAATTTAGCTCATGTACCCTTTACATCGTCTTCTGGAGAGTAAAAAAATTTAAATGCAAGCTATTGTGACACCAGTGAGTGAGTGGTGACACTGGGCAAGTGGGCACAGTATCCACTGTGAGCCTGACACATTAGCTGGCAGGCAGGCAACTGCAATTACATTACACAGAAAAAAAAAAAAGCAGACTGATGTTCTAGCCCTAAAAATGGCTTTTTGGGGTGCTGTCCTTACAGCAGAGATCAGATGAGTCCTTCAGGACTGTAGTGGACACTGTATACACTAACCTAGCTATCCATTTCCCTATCAAATCAACAGCAGCTACACTTTCCCTCCTCTCACTAAGCATGCAGCTTGAGAATGAATCTAAAATGGATGCTGTCCAGTAGGTGGGAGGGTCTGCTAGGGAGGGTGTGCTGCTAATTGGCTGGAATGTGTCTGCTGACTGTGAGGTACAGGGTCAAAGTTTACTCAATGATGACGAATAGGGGGCGGATAAAACCGTGCATATGTTCACCCGCCATGGCGAACGCAAACACGCTATGTTCGCCAGGAACTATTCGCCAGCAAACCGTTCGGTGCATCACTAGCGAACAGTCTTTTAACATATCATTCTGGCGGACAGTCACAGGCCATCCGCTACAGCAGGGGATTCAGATTTTTTGTGTCCCCCTGCTGTGGCGACCTAAGGCAGCTGCCTGAGCCCTGCTTCTGCTTTAAGAGATTTAATTAACTGTTTCAAGATGTCTATCTTTTGTTTGTCTCCTGGCCAATTTTTGACTTGAAAGCTACCTCTTTTCCCCTGGAACTATTTTGGGCATGTGTGCGGTCAATCAAAACTTTACCCTGGTGGTGATTTGGGCTATACTACATGGATCTGAGAGCTATGTGGACAACTTGGGCGCTCAG